GAGGGGGGGACGGAATTTTGAAGGAGACAAATAATGATATGGAGGAGGTTAATATTTTAATGTTGAAGGTGGTGATTTGCAGTGGTAAGGCTCATAAGCAACCACGCTAGTGGCTACCAAGCAAAATGCCAAAGCGAAAATCATCTGAGACGGGAGTCCCGGTTGCCCTCGTTTTCCCATCCTTAGAATAACTTCTTTTGTGTTGCATGGTAACCACGGATGCTAGCCCTATTTATAGTGAACTCTCCAATCATTAATATCAAAGATATTGTTAAATAATTATCATTATATCCTTGATTAAGCTTTAAAATATTATTTTAAATCCTCTCCAAGTATAAATTTCCTATTGTTTAATGTCTTTTGTCAAACTTCTTTTTGCTCTGTCCCCACAATCTCAATCAAGTGCATAACAAACATTGAAAATTCCAGCTTGAGGGAGTTGGTGAGGTGCTCTATTGCTGTTCTGTAACTGCACGTCCTTTGTAGCATGTACTTCCAAGTCAAAATTTCCAAATCTGATCACGTTAGAAGTGGGTGTCTTCTAACATAGGTTTGGCAAATTCTTGCAAATGGCTTATGATCAACATGCAGTAAGGAGTTATGTGGAAGGTAGGTGAAGTTCCAAGTAACTTATTTGGATACATAAATCTTGGTGTCGGTGAAATAAACAAACAAGAACAAGAAATAAGTTACTGCCCCATACAATTCAAGACTATATAATGTAGTATTCAACCATACTCCAATTGAGGTTACAGAGATGACGATGTTGAGGTTTAATCGAGTAGAAATCTTTCTAATTCAACGTGGAATGAACTAATATAATCATTAATTCTCACCTAACTTTGAATAGTGTACATATATATAACGAGAATATATATTAACTGGGGTGTACACACACACACAAGTTAATATATATTCTCCAATGTAAGATCAGAAATTGAAAGGAACGTATTATAAAGTGTTCATTCTTGTATTTGTGGAAGAAAGATGAGAAGATGACAACTATTGCAAATCTAGTTTATTTTAATTCCACTTGAAATGTGAAGTTATTCGTTTGACGTTTCTGCAAAATCCTTGGCAGCTACAAAAGTCTTCGGTGAAAAAGACATGCTTGGACGACTTAAGAAGCGTCACATTTTGATTTAATAGAAATTTAATGACAGAGTTGGGGGCAATTTATATGCATGCACCTTATCAATTATAATTCTACTCCCTTTAGTGCTAACAAGATGCTTGTGTTTGTAAAATCCAAATCATTTTTGTTTTTTCTGAAATCATATTTGCAATATCGATTGCATGATTTGTCCAGCGTAATGCTCTGTGAAAGCAGTTGATAGATATTGTGTCTTGGTAGAGACACAGTACTTTTGTTTTCTGTCATCTAAGAAGGGTTAAGATGGCGACTTGATGTTAGATTGATAAGCATACGTGTTCATCGCATGATTTATGTAAAACAAATCTCTTTAAAACAGTTTTAAAATAAATCCTTGTAATGGAGAGACATGTTCCTCTGTCTCCAACTTTTTTGTCACGGTCTCTGTCTCCATCTCTTTTTATCGTAATCTTTTGTGACCTTGTATAACCAATTATACATTATCACTTGCTAAACAGGCTGATTTTCTTTTCATTGAAATGGTTCGTAGTATTCTCATGCACGTTTTCATGTATTAAAGTATTTAGATATTTCTCACACCAATTCTTATGCAATTCAATCTTACCTTAATAAAACTATTATAATTTACTGCATATTGTTTGACAAAACAATTATAGAGCATCTTTAATTGCACGAAGAAATAAGTACTTAAATAAGATCAAAGACTAGGAGAATTCGATGCCTAATTCTTCACCAAATCAGTTGGCTCTCTTCTCTGAAAGACAAGATGATCTTTGTCAAAATACTTGACTTATCCACATAGTAAAGTATTGTTCGAATCCATACAGCAGTTTCTGGAGAGTCAATAGCAGATGTGAATCCGTCTTGTATAGTCAACCGATAATTGTCCGAGACTGGCATTGCTAGCATCAAGTAGCTATGAGCTCAGTAGAATCCAACATAACGGTGCGAATAAGGACTTTCTAATCAAGGCACCGGGACCATAGTTATAAGACTTACTTGGTCCATGATTCAAAACTCGCAGATCAAACCACGGATAAACAAGTTCATCCAGGCCTATTTGGGCTTCTTTTTTTTTTAATAAAAACGTTGTTTTAGATAAAAAATCTGAAACGACATCATTGACTAGATCTCACCTAGGTTTTTCACAGGTCAACCCACGACTTGAGTGTAAAGTTTATAATCTGATTTATTACAAAACTAATATCATTCCTTCCTATAGGAAATGAAAAATTGATACAGACAACTGTGTGAGCAAGAAAAATAGCCAAACTCGAGAAACAAGGAAAAATGAGAGAGTTTCCTTCTTTATGTCCATCAGTCATTATACCTTAATGTTTTGACGCATCACCAAAAACCTCTGAGTAGCAGATGGGGCAGGCCTGATAGATAGATGGTCATCAGCTTTTTGAACATGAAGAAAAACCACAAATCTTGTTCTCGAGTTTCTTGTAAAATCTCAACAGCTTACCTTATTGATGCTAAGCCATCTGGTCCCGCAACCAGCATGATAAATATGTTTGCATGGTAGAGTGATCTGACGATCACCTCGCTTATATTCCATTTGGCAAATGACACACCTGTATCCAACAAGAGAAAAATGCTTAGACTGTAAAGAAACAGAGACAAGATGAAAAAAAAATTGACAAAAAAAAAATGTTCGAATTCATCCTGAAACACTTGGATAAGCACATTTATGCTTGCAACTTTGTATAGTGCTATCTCAATGCCTACAGCAAACACGGTGAAGCTAGAGTCCATAAAACCAAATTTCCACTAACATAGGTAAATAAAGAAAAACTTCCACCAGTTAAAATAGGAAAAGCTCAATGCCTGTACTCCATGAGACATTTAATTAAAGACGAAATTAATAGCACTCTGGATTGCAAACTAGAGGATGATATAAGGTAATGAGTAAGTGAAATTTATGTCAAAATTCTCACTTCATTCATGAAATTGAAAGATGCAACTAACCATAACAGGGAATCACTGCTTATAACATCTCTGCATCTCATTCATCAATTAATTAATCAATCTGAATAATCTTATGAATTTAGTAAAGCAAAACTTCGCAAATGAAACAAAACGGAGCAAACAAGAGGCTAGAACATGAACACTTTATTGATTGAAAACAACTTGCACAGAATCCAGGTTCGGCAGACATGACAGTTGTAAGAAAAATAGATGACCAGACAACCAACCAAATGCCATAAATAAAAATGTTCAATCATAAACAACAGATACAAGCCCAAATGATACCTCTCACTTCTTGATTTCCTCCTTGAGAAGAAGCTGCGCTTGTATTTTGAGGTTGGAAGCAGAGAAATTTGTTCTTGAGAAAGACCTCGATTTTGAGTTCCAACTGTCTCGCCTAATTCAAGTAATTCCTAGATGGGAAGGATTTGATTAACAATATTTGTATAAAAATACATGCAAGTAGAGCGTTGTCAACCAAACACATGTCCAGAAGAGCAGAGAGAGTTCCAATTGTCAAGATTTTCTGACTTTGGAGGTTTGTACAGTTTAATTATTCTGAACAAAGGAAATTTAACACAAGAATTAATGGGAGTGTAGCAGGAGATGGATCTCTATTTCATCTCAGTGATACAAATCAGATTTTCTAGCAGCTAATGAAGTCATGGTGTTAGCTTGGATGAAGGTTCAAGGGTTAATGACATGATCAACTTATGATGATATTAGTACATTTGATGTTGGAATCCCATAATATAGGCTTCAGCTCAACCATAAGTTTGCACACAGGAGCTATATTATACCACAGAATTTGAATTAGGATACAATGTTCACCAGCAAAGAAATTATATCAAGCTAAAATTATCTGAGAAACTGATCCAGTAATTTGTGTTCATAGATTTTCTTATGCTGCACATGGATGCTATCCCATCTTGCCTGTGTAAGTAGATTTCATTTTCAGGGATAGAAATTTATGCTCTAACCTCGTAAGTCATATTGTCAGGATCAACATGGTCTTGCCAAATAGCCTGCATTGGACACAGAAAATAACAGTACAGTTATTTCACACGGGTACAACCATACATTATATTTAAGGGGTGAGAGGATACCATACAGTGTATATTAACAGCACTAAAATCTTATATCAACGAAGGTATTATGCAAGAGTCTCTTTGAGCACGATTTCTTATCGATACTACCTAATGCTACAACATGCAGAGACATTGCAGGTGAAAGCATTAAATGTTGAATTTAAGGACTTCATTGGTCTGTATGAAACTATAAGCAAATGATACAAATTAGTAAAATGAAAAGGATTAAATATCAGAAGTTACCACACCTGATAATCCTGAACATTATGATGTCTGCGCAAACCTAGACAAAAGAACATAACAAAGCTAAGAAAAAGCTGTGTATAGGTGAAAAGAAGATATCACACTGTGCAAAAGGCATGACACAACTCAGGACATTAATCCCATGACTAACTGAGCTTAAATGTTAAACCTCAGAACAAAGTATTCATGAACAAATTTTCTATATAATTCATATATGAAAAGGCCATTATCTTGCATCTAATAATAGGGGCGAACAAATATTAATTGGACTATTTGTTGGGAACATGCTACAATATAGAACTCAGAACTTACATTCTACAGGGTCATCATGAGAAGACCTGTTTTCATTTACTTCCCGTTCAGCATTTACTCTAGAAGTCCGTTCATTAGTCGCTGTAGAAGAATTCTCCAAAGGCGACCTTCTATATTCTTCATTTCGTAGTCCATGATTGTGGACCTCATAGACATAAGCAGGGTCATAATATGAAGCGCTCCCTGGTGGGGATAAGCCAAACTTGTAGAAATTTGCATTCATCGAGGGGTATACACTATCCTGCAAATCCAAGAAAGAAATATTCATTTCTACAAGAACAAAACCACAACCCACTTGTTGCTCCATTATCTATACATTGAAAAATAAAATCAAGATAACAGAACCAGAAAACAAACCTCTATCTGATTCGCCAATAATTGCATCATATGGATCTAAATATTGTTGAAAGCATATATTATTCTAACTGGATAATTACAAAGTACACGAATAATAGATACCTGAACATGGGAAGCTCCATTGAAAATGAAATTCACATGGTCATACGTGAGACCTTCGAAATATTCAATAAAACTTCCAGCTGAATTATATGGGTAGCTAGCATTCATGTAATGACCATCCATGAGTGTATTCCAATTCATTTCAAACCACTAATCTGTCACACAAATAAGCACTAACATGAAACCACAATTTGGTTTAGCAAAAATAACAGATGAAATACAAACCAACCTGCTCTCCTAAGGTTTCAAACTTGGAACTTTCACTCTCAAAACCAAAACTTTTGCATCAATAAACTGTCCTCTAATCACTTTCTAACCATCTCACAACCCTACAGAATAAGTCAGCAAATTAGCATAAATTTGATAGCACAAGATAAATCAAGCAATCAAATAACAAATGCTTGCATATTCAAAACATCTTAAAGAAAAAAGATCCCAACTTGTTGAAAATTGCTTCAGATAAAGCCAAGATTAACCGAGAGAAACATCAAAAGATGTGAGAAACAGAGCAAAATAGCTCACTTCAGCCATAACTTGTCCTTTCTACCAAAAAACAGAAGCCAAGAACCCATTTCCATTAAGCATCTAAATCAGATGCTAGTGATCTCTAATTACCTCTATCAACTCAAAAGGAACAAACTTTTTCACATTTCTTGCCAAATCAAGAACCTTCTCACCTATCTTCACGACTACAGGGTTTTGATCTCTAAAACAACAGTTTTTTTTAAGTGATTTCTTGATCTCTAAAAAAGAAAGAACCTACATTGTAAAAATAAAACAAGAAAATCAAGAATTTATGTGATACCTGATTACTCAAGAATTGAAGAATCCAAGAAAATGTGCGAGAGGAATGTGAAACAAATGGATCAGGTCATGAAGACAAGAATATATACCTCTCTCTATTTATATATATATTATCAGCAATAAAGAAAGAGATAGAGAATCTGATTCTTACTAGGAGTAAAAAAGAAAGGAAAGGAGAAAGAACCGACAGACATTGATAGGTGATGGCTTTTAGAAGAAGAGGGGGAGGCAGACTAGAGAGAAAGATACTCACTTTCCTTTGTCTTCTCTGTTTTTCTCTGTTCTTAGAGGAAGTGCGAGTGAATGTGGGCTGTGCGAGCGTCGTGGCTCACTTATTGGAGCGGTGCGCTTTTCTTGCTGAATTACTGTTTAGCCATTGGACACGAAGCAATGGTAACTAGAAAACAGATTTAATGACAGAAAAGAAAATACGTAGAACCCTTTTACTGTTGAAGATAAAACTCTATTGTGTTATGTTTTTTAAGTTTAAAAAATAACTTAAATTTTCAACCCAAAAAAACTTAAATAATAAAAAATTTAAATAAATTAAGAAAAACAAAATTAATATTTGATTTTCAAAAAAAACTTAAATAATAAAAATTTTAAATAAATTAAGAAAAACAAAATCAATATTTGATTTTCAAAATAAAATAGGAAAAGAAATAAAATCACCATGAAACAAATATTTTTCTAAACTAAATAGAAATAATAATAATTTAAAAAATATTTTTTTTCTACAAAATTATTTTACATTAGTTTATTTGGACAAGGAAGAATTCACCCTCAAGTTTTAGTTATTGCATTGACATTGTTGTTAACTTATGCGTGTCTCTTTCCTTAAAAAACATTTTTATTTTTTTATTTGATCATATTCAATTTTTTTGATTTTTTCTATCATAGTTGTTCTGTATTATATAGTAATGCTAAAATAATTTGAGATTACAATACACAACAATCAATAACTTAGAATTATTAAACTTTAATATCAAATAATGCATAAACATAAACATTAGGACAATAACAAAAGTGAAAAAAGGGCAAAAATAGAATGGAACACAATAATCATAATTTATAGTTTTATTGTTTGAGATAAATCTCTATAATATATTATTTTATTAAAAAATTTACAACTCTTAAAAAAAAGCTTAAAAACAATTCAAACAAACTAAAAATTTTGAAAATAAAAGAAAAATAATAAAATTTCTAAAACAAATTAGGAGAATTATGATGTTAAATGAAATCAAAATCGCTATAAAAACATATTTTTTAAAACTAAATTAAAAATAATATGTATTTTCCCTCTAACAATCCCCCTGCATCACCATTACCATTTGCTAACCTTCCTCGTTACCATCGCTTTTTTTTAATCAATTCCATTAATTAGATATATGGGCCATTTGTCTAATCGGTAGATTATATACTATTATTTGACTTAATTTAAATCAATTCACTAGATTTATAAATCAAGTTTAATGACTATACTTTTTACAAATTTCCACATTTTTAAAGATACGAGACAAGTTGAAATTAAAGGGTTAGATCATATACAATTGTTTAACTTAATTTAAAGAGAGATTAGTTTTAGTGCATCAAGATTTTCATTTATGTCGATAGAATCATGCAGTTTCAATTAATATATTCATGGAAATTACTATTTTACAACCATTTCTTTGGATACATATGTGTAGGAGCCAGCACCTAAAACATACCAAGCTAGTATATATTACCTTGCAATGTTATCAAGATCAACTAATTAAAACCAATTCACCATCATAATTGACTGAGTTCAAGTGAGATTTCATCTTACTTTATGTAGTTGAAACATCAAATTACTATAACATATGTTAACATCACGTACAATCATTTAAAGCATGGTGCGCCGGCTTAGATTATAGTTCTTATATGGCCATGTCCCTTTTTTACTCTCTTTGCAAACCACTTGATTTGTCTAGGAGAAAAGAAGGCTCTCCTCTCTATCCACCGCCATCAATTGTAAATATTTAATTTTAAAAGGTCTAATTTAATTAATTAAAATTAAAATTTATTTTTAAAAGATTATCTATTTAAGTTTTCTAAATCTTAGAATTATTAAAAATTTATATAATTATTAATTTTAAAATTCATAAAATTAGTTAAACAAATACTTATATTAATTTTAAAAAATATTTCAATTCAAAAATAGAATATATTATTAGAAGTAAAAAATTTACCACTTGCCAGGGATTGCCCGCAGTTGTTAAGGAGGCTAACAAACATCGAGCCAATGGACCCAATATTTGTTTGAACATGATTTGGGGTGGCGCTGAGTGGTTAGCTTGTGTTATAGAAACTGGACCTCATGTGATATGTGGTTAAAGGAAGATCACCAGACCATCTGATTCTCTCAGGAGGAAGTTGGTGTCAGTTAAGGTTGGTTGGTTGGTTTAGGAATCAGTCTCCAAAACACCACATTCATTAAAGATATAAAATACTTGCCTTAGCTGGAATGCTACCCGTCGTCCGCTAAGCAAAATTATGCAATGGGGCCAGTTGTGCTTAAAGCTTCCTCAAGGTAGGGCACAGTTGAGGTTTTGATGACATGGAAAGGATCAAATTTATGAAGTAAAGTTTGGAATTTCCTCGAGGGGGGGTCTACAATGTGTTCTGCCATGGACCCCATGGAAGTAGAACTCTCATGTGCTTGAGAGAATCCGTGCTTATTGAGTAGGGTTGGTAAGAAATTATCCAAAAAACTGTAGAGAAGTTCTTGTAACAAGTATGGATAGAGTGGTTAGGTCCGCAACAACATGGGGCAAACTTGAATGGGATTTTTACTTACACCTTCCACCCTTAATTTCTCTAATTTGTTCATCCACCTTAAAGTATGATTTTTCTATTAACAGATGCAGGTAGGTGGAGAATTTTTGAGGAGTAAATGAGAATGGTTGCCCTAAACCAGCTTGATAGGTGAATGGTTAGAACAAAGGCCATTAAATGGATCCTTTTTAGGTTAAAAGTCTCGACAAATTTGTTAAGAGTTTTTATTTGGGTTGAAAGGATAGGTGCCAAGGCTACATTCCCAGCTTGGCCTATCCCGTAGTTTGATCCTTCTAATGTGTAGCATAAATGTCAACTAGATCAGCAGTTAAACCAGGAAAAGTGCGTTGATGACATTAAATTTGTGTGGTTTAAAGGAAAATAGGTAAGAGACATAATCACTGGAGCAAAAAGGCAATTAAGATGGTGCAGAGAAGTAAAAAGGAAAAGGTGAAAATTGCACTTTGTGTTCATCTTGATTCTTGATAGTAAAAATTGGTACTCTCTGTTATTATATAACTCGGGAATCGACCTAGAAATAATCTAAAACGAATTGGTTTTCTTAAAAAATAAAAAACTGACTTGGCTCAAACTAAATTCTAGATGAAGGATGAAGGAATCACCGAGTAACATGTCTGGTTGGGTTGGCTATTATAGCTATCGCTACAAGGCAGTACAGAAACAGATGGTTGTGCATGCCAGTAGTTCAAGTTTACGATGATTGGAGGCTACACCAATGGCCATTGCCATGGCCCATATGGTCAAGCAATCAGTGTGGCCTGACCAAAGAGCCTAAAAGGCTGTCAGGCATGTGGGAGAAACAGAGAGGTGACAAAGAAACAGAACATGAATGTGAATGAACAAAACCTAGCGTGCAAGCAAGGACGAATCATTGTATATATATATTCCCTCATTCCTTTTTGTCTCCACACTTGTCAAAAGTTAAATTCTGTTTTAGGCTATCCCTGCTGTTGATCTCAAGACCCAGCATTGGATCCCTACTTGCAAAGATGTGGGGCTGCGTCCCCTCCCCTCCTCTCTTTTTTTTCCGCCTTGTTTATCATGTTTTGCACCCTACCCATAGCTCTTTCAAGGAATTTCCTTTTAGCACTCCCGGGTGGGTTCAGCACAGCCGTATTGCTCCCAGAGCAAGATCATCATTAAGCAATCCATGACTGTTGTTGTCTCAGTCCCGCATGCAAGAATGCATCTGATACAGAGAAATGCCAACTGGGTTTGAACTTGAAATCCTAAGAGTCATCCAAAACTTTTGAAACTCCAAATAGTAATTTAATCCAAACTCAATGAATACAATACAAACCGACCTGACTAAATGAGGTTGTTGTTTTTTTGGATATTTATTTTATCCTTGAATGAATAATAGATGTATTGTCAAACCTAATTTGAAATAAATCCAAATTGTATAACAGATAAATATATAAAATTGCTTGAATATGGTATGAATATCTAAATTATTTACTTAATAAATAGGATATAATAAAAATATGATTTGTGGATGCTCATTCTCATTGGTATTCAAACATAGAAAACTCTAGTTGTCTGGATAATTGTATTAAACATTCATATACATGTTCAAATTGAGGATGTGATTTGTCTCTAACAATGTAAGATGTGATGACCCTTGGCAATACTCATCTCTTAAAGTTTCTTTTGAGAATAATTTAGGTCTTGTGGGCTTGACTCTTTACCCTACTATGGACTAAGTTCATCTTCTTTCTGGGCTCTTGTTTCTGGTCCTTCTAGGCTCCCTCAGACAGACCACTCCGTGCCTCCTCCCACATGCCAGCTTCTCTGTACAAATTTGCAAGCAAAACATGTATAGCACTGTCACGGGGATCCAACTCAAGAAGCTTTGAAGCTGCTCTTTCCCCTATCTGAAGATCTCCTTGAATTCCACAGGCAAAGAACACATGCCCCACACCATAGCATCTGCCTCCATTGGCATTGTTTTAATAATCTCTTTAGCCTCCTCCAACAAACTGGCCCTACAAAGAAGGTTCGCCATGCAAGAAAAGTGTTTATGCTGTGGAGACAGGTTGAATCTGGATTTCATTTGGTCAAAAAACTTGCGACCCTCCGTGACAACAAGCTGATAGGACCCCAAGAAAGGTGGCAGCAATCCAATATCAATCATCCTAGAGAAGTTAAATATGGAAGAGCTAAACCTCCAATAACAGCTGTCCAAGTCGAAGAGTTTCTTCCTGGCATCTCATTAAAAGCCTGATGAGCCTCTGTCATGTTCCCACATTTTGCAGATGTCACTTAATGCAGTACCTAGGGCAACATCTAAATAGAGACTGTCTTTTGAAATAATTGTGAATCCATGTTCCAGTGTCGAGGGCTCCATGTTGTGAGCAAGCAGATAGGCAAATTTCAATCTCTAAATTACCAAACGGTACTCTTAACATTTGTTCTTGTATATGAAACTAATCAATCTGCGTGATTCGATCACAATCAAATATTGCTCACTAGTTATTACTTCCTACTGGTCCTCGTTTGGTTTGGTTTTGAGGTTGCATTTTCGGTATAACCTCGGTGTTACCTTGTTTTCAAATGGATTTGAAGGGTGTGTTTGAAAGGCGGTTTAAATTATATTTTTTTTTAAATAAAAAAAATCAATTTTTTTTTTATATTTGTAAATAGTTTTGATTTTATATTCGTAGAAAGTTTTGATATACTCATATTAAGAATTAATTTTTAAAAAATATTATTTTAATATATTTTTAAATAAAAAAATATTTTAAACCATAACCGCTATTATATTTCTAAACACACCCTAATATTAATGCATTCAAAAGGGCGTTATTAGTTGACCTAGTAACTCAAGATCGACTATAAATAAGTTTGATTAATGCATTTGAAACTTGGTTAATTATTTTAAAAAAACAACATTATTTTATTTTCTTTATCTAAATTATCATCATCATTTCAAATAAAATATTTATTTTTAAATTAATAAAGTTGAGTTAACCCACTAACCCATAAATTAAACCATATCATTCCATCTATTATTAAAACTTTGGCAAAACCAAGTTTTATACCCATGTTCTAACTAGTTTAGGTAATATTTGGCCAAGGATTTAATCATAGATTTTGAATGCGTTTTAAAAAAATAATTTTTTTCTTTGTTTTAATTTTTTTTTATATTTTTAAATCATTTTAATATAATGATATTAAAAATAATTTTTTAAACATAAAAATTTATTATTTTAATATATTTTAAAAAACAACCTCAAGACTCTTAAATACAAAAATCCAAATAACATTCCTTCTTTTTTAGGAAATTTTTGCGAAGACGGGCCTAGCATATTTTAGGCAAGGATTGTGTGGAGACACTGTATTTCCCTAGAACAACTACTTTTATTTTGGAGTCCCTTGAGAATACAGGAGCCATAGGTAGGCTTTTGGTGTTTGGGCTTGGGGCCACTGTTGCAAGTTGCAACTATATATGTGCACGCTCTCTTTTCTTTGTCGTCGAAGTTTTTAAGAGAATGTCCATGGTTTTTGAGAATGTCGCAGCTTCATGATTTTGGATTTGCTTGTAAATCATTACCAGTTAATTGAACCATGTGACTGTCAAATACGTTGGAGCTGATGCTTGAACTAAACTGAAGTCGTGAGGAGTTACGCCATCTAACATTCTTCTATAGCTGGGCAATGGAGATGCAAGATACCAATTGTTGAGAGCATGGTGAAAAGCATACCTCTTTTCCCTCAAAGGAAAAAATCATCTGTTTGTCTTCATTTTCAGACCCCATTGCTTCCTCAGGTGTGTTTCAGAGTTGAAAAACATCATACAAACATAGAAGCCTGAATGAGGTCCATCGCATTATTCGATCGCGAAAAGGTATAACTTATGCAATGGACCGTAAAGAACCCAGAATGATAAAACGAGAAGGATAATTTATAGTTTTGATGTGTTCAAAATCAATGTAGTGCAATCGCAACAATTCCTAAAAGACAAGACTACAGCAATGGAAATCCTGAAGCTGAAAAAAGTTAATCCAAATGAGTCTAAAGAATTATCCAGAATAAATTCTGGAATGGAACTCCAAGAATTTCGTCACCATCTTTGATGATTGTATGGGGTGAAGAAGAATGAGACTTAATTAGGCCCCCCGGAACCGTACTTCTTTCCCAAGACAATCACCTGAAGCTTGTCATATCCGGCAAGCACACCAGCACCAGCAACAGCACGGAGGATGTTTGCACCAGCACCCTTGAACAGGGATTTAGCACCCTCGTTCTTAAGGATCTGGGAGAATGCATCGAGGGAGCTCTTGTACTTGACAGCTTCACCAGATGTCATCATCATTCTTCTGCGGACAGTGTCAATTGGATAGGATGCAAGACTAGCACCATTAGTGATGACCCAGCCAACAGCAAAGCTAGCAAAGAAACTATCCTGTAATCATAGGATGAGCGAAACAACATGAGAATTTTCACCTCAACAAATGAAATTGTAGCTGTTAAATAATTTATGTTAGAATCTACGAACCTGCAGCTTTCCAGTCAGGACGACCGGCTTCAAAGAATCATACAATCCAAAATACAGACCACGGTACACAATAATACCAACACATGAAATGTTAAATCCACGATAAATCCCAGCAACGCCATCTGATTTTAGTGTCTTCCTGTAGACATCAACCAAACCATTGAATTGCCTCTCCCCTCCCTTCTTTCCAGCCTTGGCATCATTTGCAAGACGTGTTCGGGCATAATCCAAAGAATAAACAAAGAGTAGTGACGAGGCACCAGCAGCACCACCAGATGCCAGGTTTCCAGCGAAACACTTCCAATAGCCATCACGGTCCTTCTTGAAGTTGAAAAGCCTCTTAAAGTAATCTTTGAATGCAAAATTCAGGGCCTGGAGGAGAGTTCATAGAATAACTAGATAAGCACAAAAATAAAACCCAAACAGGTCAGTAAAGTATTCAGGATGAAAGAAACCTGAGTAGGGAAGTAACGGATGACATTAGCAGTGTTCCCTCTCCACAAAGACATCGTCCCCTCATCTTTTATTGTTCGGCTGAAACATTCTCCAATTCCCTTGTATGGTTCAGAGAGTCGACCAGCCTTGATCATTTCATCCTGGTTTTGGATCAAGAGCTTCACACGCTCAATGGGAGCTGCAGCAGTTTTTGACACGGCAGCAGAAACACCGCCCATAAGAAAATCAACAGCAAAGCCAGCCAAGCCTTTCTCAGACGGGGCTTGGACAAATACCGTTGCAGTAGATGATGCAACCAATGAGATGTCAAGGCTAGACTGGCATGGCCTTGTCATGGCATACTGGAATCCCGCATTGGAATAGTTTCCATTTGCAAACTGCCTTCGGTGTAAAGCAGGTCTCCGAAAACCTTGGGGAAAGCTAGAACTGAGATGGACCTGGCCGGCCATCTTTTGCATGACAGACGGTTGCTGGCCCCTATCAGCCATTTCCTCACACAAATAATTAACCCCTGTTCCAAATTGAATTAGTAACGCGACTAATTAACCACATTTGTTCTTCGAAACAGTTTCAAAGTAAAGTGCCCACAATAGCTTCGAATGCATGTATCACTCTAACGCAGGATTCAAGACATGACACTTGCACAGTAGTCAAATCATGTTTTAAGATCAAAATAAAATAAAAAACAACATCAACAATAGTATCATATTCTAATCAATCAAAGTGTCGATTCCAAATCAAGTGACACAAACATTCTTCACTTATTCCAAAATCCCGAAAATACCAAATCTTTCTAATCCACACTAATAACAAACATATTCAAAAGAGTAATGTTATTTTTTTAAAATTAAAATAAGAGAGTGTTAAGAAAATTTAAAAGTATGGTATCCGATTATTTTTTAAAATAATTTTTATTCTTAAATATATTACAATAATTTTTTATCTTTAAAAAATTATTTTTGATATTAATATATTAAAATGATTTAAAAATATCAAAAATATATTAATTTAAAAAAATTAAATATTTTTGAAAGTATTTTCCATAGAAAATTAAACTAATAATCTCAAGCATTGATGGGGTGGACCTCTACTGCCACCAAGACCTTAGGATTATTCAGGAAATCATTCGGGACAAATATTTCGGAACAAATAGCAATATTCTGATCAAAATGAAACAAAACAATAATCACAGACCAAAAAAACAACAACCCGTTTCACATATCATAACAAAAACTCAACTAACCATATATTTCAAAGGAAAAAACAAAACTTTGAGATCCAATGAAGAAAAGAAAGATATTGATATCGAAAGTAACCTGTTGGTTTAAAATCCTTGAAAAAAAAACCCTAAGTAACAGATCTAACAAAGAAGCCAAGAACCCACCGAAAGAGGGAGGGAGAGAGATCTAAGAAAGAAGTGAAGTGGGTTTATATAAACATGATGGTGTCAATGCAAGACTGGCAAGACACAGACAAGTCCGAAATACAAGGAACCCAAGACAAGGAACTAGACTGGAAAAAAACATGACAGTTACATATGAACTGATTCATGTGGCGTGTGAAATGAAAGGAAAGGAAGTAACTTTAGAGGAAGAAAGAGAGAAAGTGAATGCCTTCTTGTTGGTGTGAAGAGAGAAAGGAGTCTTCTTCAGGGTCTTATGGAACGGCAAAGTGGGAGACGAGATGCAGTATGAAAGATTATATATGGATGGAGGGAGAGAAGAAATGGTGAACGAGAGGGTGCATGCAATCATACTAATCACACCCGCTCGGGTCTCACTCAGGATCTTGCCGGGTCAGCAATGTAATCTTTGTGTCAAAACATTTCTTTGAAAACAAATAAATATAAAAAGAATCACTTCAATAATAAGAAATTGTTCTTTGTGATAGATAAGGAAAAAATGAATAAACAAATGAAAAACATGATTATTTTTTTAAAAGTATATGAATACAAATATGACAATAATTTATATAAATTATGAATGATAATCGGTTGTTTTTATGTGTGAATTATCAGGGGCAGAGATAAGGGGCTGGCAGAAGCCTCAACTCCTGTAAGAAAAAAAAAACCCAGCCTTCCCCTTAAATAATTTATAGTTTGAGCTCTAAGACTAGTTAAATTTAAATTTTAGCCTCCTAAATAAATTTCCTCACCCTTCTGGATCATGGATGTTTACTATGCTTTTATGGATGTTTAATATGCTTTAACTAGTGGTTGAAAAAAAAAGAAAAAAGAGTGCTGACTTGTTCGAAGGCCAAGTGTATTTGAATATTTAGTGGGCAAACGGAGATGATCTTGGAAGGTCTCATGTTGATAAATGAAGAAAATGGTATTGACATTTATTTATTTATTTAGGCTTTAGGAAATTTATTGATTTGACTAAGGTAGAGTTTAAATATAGTTTAAATTAGAAATCAAAGAAGATTGATAACTAACATGTCTTGATTCCTTCGTACCCTAACATGAGAAACATCACCAACCTTGTATATATCAACACGGTTCAGAATAAGGTTAACAGTTATTTCTTTTATCTCCCCTCATTTTCGGAAGAAAAAAATGTCGCAATGAGTTTTGCATAGACTGCGTGTTCCGACTGCAATCAACCATTCAACAAGGATGAATATTAGGGAGAGCTTTCTGAGAAGTCTTTGGGGGCCATGAAAACAATATGAGGAGTGCTATTAATATAGGAGGTAACATCTTCGCATACAATCCGCTGAATTTAGTATGAGATCGTGGCTTGCTTTGCGCCTCACTAAATCCAAGCGGAATATTTTTTCCCAGAAAATTTGGACCTGTTCAAACTCCTTGCAGTCTGCATCCCTTGGCAACTTCCTTTCCCTGTACTTCAAAAAAAAAAAAAAACATGTCACAGGACCAATGAGCCCTTGAACTGTATAAAACAAGGGCGTAACCCTCTCATGATCCCTGGCCATTACTCTGGATTGAGATTCTCTCGTGATGATCATTATGTTCATTAAATCTAAACCGTTGAATTCAAATGGACGTGAACTTCCACATGGAAATCTAAAGCATGACAAAACAGTAAAGCAACAACATAATATAAAGACAAACATCAAGTTGTGGAATCACGACTTATTCTAGCGCCAGGGGGCAGTAACAATAACAAAGCACAATAGGAGCAACATAGTGAATGCGGCTATTAGCATGTCTATTGATTGTTAGAACATTCAACTCAAAAACACCAGAGGGGAAGTCTGGATACTAACTCACACAAACAATGATTTGAAATGGCCAGTGCGAAACCTGTGGAACATAGGACAAGAAAAGAAGAAAATGGATGTTCCATTGCCTGTAAATGAAAATGCTTGAAGCATGTTTATTTGGTAGACACAAAAGAAATATTCAACAAAGTTTTAAAGCAAGAAAATATCACCTACGAGCATGAAATGGTGGAGGGGGGTGGCGCCGTTCACATTCGAGGAGCAGACTTGTAGCTTCTGTCGTGTAAAGGGAATGCACTGATGAGAAGACGAGCAATAAAGAGCTGTTGCACAAAGGCTTTGCATTTTATAGCAAAAGACAATAAAGTCTCTAACACTCATAAGGTTAATTTAAAACAATATGTGCGGTAAATGATGTTAGTTATTTCATTTACATGATGCTATAAATATTGTGGGATAGTCGTACAAGATACAAGGAGTGAACTGTCAATCCCTCTGTAAGGAAGCTAATGATGTCTGCCCAGATCAATTTGATCTCTTCCTTGCACTCTGTCAATACCATGGGAAGTAGGGTCATATGCTGGTTCTGAACTCCTCAAACCCATTTCCAGTGGCTTCTGCCTCATTTGAAATGCACTCTGCCTATTCTCCAGTCCCATCCTCTCATTCTCCAGCCTCAACCTCGAACTCCTTATCTTTCTTGCTGCAGTATCTCAACCACTTGAACTGTTGTTTCTCAAGCTCAAAAGCTTGAGCCTTGATGTTGACCCTTTGCTCTAGGAGTTTTAACCTCTGCTTCTTAATCCACTCCTTTCTCTCCCATGGCAATACATTAGTGTCTTGAAAAATTGCTGTCATTTCAACACCAAAGCTATTTTGCCAACCTGATTGAGAACAAAGGTGGGAATGCTCTTCATTCACAATCCTTTCACACAACTGGCCCATACTTTCCCAAGTCTCATCAGCATTATTATCAGCTTCATTATTCGATTCATCATCATCACTGTCATCATTTCCCTCAACTTCATCCTCCCCTGACCCATTCATATCTTTTGAGCACCTCTCAAGAGGTAATGAACAACCTTGTAGATCAAAATCCTGGCAATTGGGTGTTCTTTGCCCGTTATGGTAGGCACAAATTTCCATATAAAACAAATGTTTCGAACTCCATATCTTTCCGACATCATCCTTCGCCTTAGCTGAAAGATGAGGCATTGAGTCCATAAAAGCGGGGTTCTCCACAACTCTACAACTGTTGTGGCGAAACATGACACCCCTTGCCAATCATTAGCTTTGACACTGTTTTCCACTCACCTTTCTTCTGCAAAAGCCCGGATTTTCTCTTAAGCCCCCCCATACCATCAAATGTATCGTCATCACCCACACAAGCAACCACTGAAATAAGAAGCCTAACAACATTATCTGTCCATTTCATTCGCTGCCATGGAAAGCCTTGTTTGCCCTTAGCGCCAGTAGAGTTCTCACCATTCCCATCTTCCATAAAACTCTGGTCATCATCTTCACTCCCATCGCCACTATGTGCACTGTTAAACGGACTAGCAGCTCTTCCTTTACCAAAATTCACCAAATATCCTTTTGATGTTGAACCTTTCATTTCCATTAGCCCACTTGGTTGGTGATCATTATCAAAACAACCCATTACCTTCATCTGATGTTGGTGCGCTAGTGAGGGATGACCTAACTGAGATTGTTAGTGTTTATGAATCGGTGACTCGAGGTCTAACAAACCACCACTTGAATCAGAGAAAAAAAGACCCCTCAAACCCGAATTATCCATGTCAACACACTTACTCCTGAATTCCAAAATCCTGATGTTCTCTTCAACGGCTCAGCAAATTAAGTAACAGAAAATGAACCACAATCTCAAATTCCATACATTTCAATGCTTAAGAAATCATTCATTCCACTAATAACCACTTGGATCATCTAAACCAAGTTTCCATTATCAAAAACTTAACAGCCAAAGAAAACAAAACCCCGAAATATCCCATTTTCTTCCATTTTCCTACATTTTCTCACCAGCCAAAAAAAGAAGGTTCACCACCATCCTAACCACATTAGATTAATCACCAATCATCCAAAATCACCCTACAGGCTTAATCTCCAATATTTATCAAAAACCCATAATTTCTAAATCTGCAAATATACAAAAAAAAAGAAAAGAGAAACGTTTTAATCAAAATCAACTAAACAACGCAACAAGATCCAATCTTTTTTATTCCAATAAATAAAGGTTGAAAATTTTCCTTAATAAATTGATAAAAAGTGGATCATTTTTTGATGAACTAAAACAAAAAACACAGCACAAATGAAACAAACAAGAGGTTGTTCTTTTCGCAAGCTAACTTTTGTAGAGGGTGTGTGGGAGTGCATTTTATAAGTGTTTATGAAAAAATTTTAAATTTTTATTTTTAAATTAATATATTTTTAATGTTTTAAAATTATTTTAATATATTAATTTTAAAAAATAAAAATTATTATTATTATTTTTAAATAAAAATACTTTAAAAATTAACCACGATATTCTAATCCACATGGAGCTTGTCACTGTGGAAAGGGGAGAGAGCTTTGAAAAGAAAAGGTTTTGAGAAAAAATATGATTAGATATGCCACGTGTTGAGATGTTTTCGGTGAAAAGGGTGTTCGCCACAGGCAAGGGATGATACTAATTTACTGATAATCAAACGTTTTGTATAAGGGTAAATTTCAATTTGCCCCCTGAATTTAAATTCTTCTTAAATTAGCTCTAAAACTTGTTCTTGTCTCAATCACCCCTTTCGAGTTTGAAAAGCTTTTCAATCTTCTCATTTCAGTCTGTTTTCATTTGGAAAATTGATTGAAGAATGAGGCATTATTAACTTGGTGTTCTTCAACAACTTAAGTAATGATTGAAGAGGACATAATCTAATCAAGCCTCCTTAACTCTAAACTTTTGTCATGCCTTTTCTGCAACCAACGCTTGAACCCTGTTGTGTTAGTGCCAGTTTGGCAACGCGGTGCACTGCATTACGCTAGCTAAAACATCAAAAATGATTCTTTTGTTGTGGTGCATTGCGTCGCCAAACGGTGCATTAGTCTAGAGCTACAAAGAGAAAAGACTTGTGTCAATCTTGAAACGCAAAAATAAAATGCAAAAAGGTATTCACTTTGTTTTATATGAAGTAAATTACAGTGTATCAGCTGAAGAAAGTAGTAATTAACGACAGATGTCAGGAGTCCAGCTCTAAGCTAGCCTGTCACCATTTTTTATACATTTGAAGCTCCTAGGTGGCCTTCTAGCTAGTGCTTTTACAGTGCTCTATATGAATAGGCTCCACGTAAGACTGCTACAAAAGAGAGGAACAAACCGCACTAAGAGATGAAGCAGCCATGCAAGCACCAGCAAGTCAAGGAGGTAACCGAATTCCAGTGAAAGGGTACAGAATGCCAGCAGCAATAGGCAAGCTAATCATGTTTTAGCCAAGTGCCCAGAAATAGTTAATCCTCATTTGGGAGATGGTCTTTGGGATAGATCAATAGCTGCAACTACATCTTCCCAGTTGCTTCTGATAAGAGCTATATCAGCTGCTTCTATGACCACATCTGTCCTAGCACCAAATGCCATCCCAACATCAGATGCAACCAGGGCTGGTGAGTCATTTATTCCGTCTCCGACCATTGCAACGTTCATCCCTTCCATCTGCTTACAGTTTCGATCAGAAAATTCAAGTCAGAATTTAATTTCTTCATACAACATTTGCATTTGGGTGACAGGATAATTGATGTGAAATTTGTGATTTTATGAGAACTCTACTTAGGTAAACATGTAATCGACAAAGCTCTTTCGAGGTCTCCTCAGATTAGTTTGTGCCTCATTCCCTTTTCCAGGCCAAACTATCATCTTACTACTAAATGGATACTGAAGATAGAATGACTCGGAGCTTCAAAATTCATGAGCATTAGATTGTCTACAGTGAGTGTTTGTTTCAAAATAAATTCACCTGTAACTCTTTGATCTTGGCAGCTTTTCCGAGGGGATCTATTTCGGCATACACATCCTCAATTCCAACCTCCTTTTCAATGGCTGTGGCTGCAGCCCAGTTGTCACCTTTGGTCATGATGCTTGAGATGCCCAGTGAGCGGAGAAAAGACACAGCAAGCTGAGCTTCTGGTCTCATCACACCAGCCGCAGAGAAAGCTCCAGCAACCTTCCCATCAATGGCGACTAGTATAAATGTTCTAGCCAATGCTAATTTTCAGAGATATAGCTCTCAACTTCATAACCAACAGATACATTGAAAGCATTCATGAGCTTCTTGTTCCTAACCAAAACCCTCTGTCACCAACTTTTCCACTTACCCCAGTTCCTGTTGGTGGGAGAAACCACTTGTGGTGGCTTTGAAACACTCGGAGAAAATAAAACACACTCTTTTATTTCAAGAACAAAGCTTACAATAATATAAACAAAAGCTTACAACAACCCCTCTCTTTTTCTCTCTTTCTCTCTAGTGTTTCTCTCAATCTCTCCACACATAACTGCATAAGCTTAGCTATCTATATATACACGAACTCAAAACAAGAAAATTCAACCTTCAAGTGTGAAGGCGGTTTTTGGCCGACGGTATGAAAGCGGCTGGCGGCCGGTGGCTGGTCGGTTGGTGGCTGGGCGGTGACAGCTAGTGGCTGCCTTCCTTGACCTTCTGGATTGAGTTTACTTCAACAAATCTCCCCCTTAAACTCAATCGAGGGATGTCATTCCAAGCATGAATTTCAAATTGATAAATACTTCTCTTTTCAATGGCTTGGTAAAGATATCTGCAACTTGATCATCTGTCTTACAGGATATCAGCTCGATTTCTTTGTTCTTTACATGCTCTCGAATAAAGTGATGACGTGTATCAATATGTTTACTTCTTTCATGATACACTGGATTTTTTGTCAATGCAATCGCTGATCGATTTTCGATATAAATCTCTGTAGGATTTTCTTGAGGAAATCCCAAAAACTTCAGCAAATTCCTTAACCATATTAAATGGCATACAACTGAGTTGGCAGCAACATACTCAGCTTCACAGCTTGATAACGTGACAATTGATTGCTTCTTGGATGACCATGTGAAAGATGTATCTCCCACGAAAAATACAAACCCTGTTGTACTTTTTCTTTCATCCAGATCTCTACCCCAATCACTATCCGAGTAGCTAGTAAGATTGAAATTTATACTTGAGGTATAAAACATACCTTCATTTATTGTGCCTTTGATGTAGCGAAGAATTCTCTTGGCTGCATTCAAATGAGACTGGTCTGGCTTCTCCATATATCTGCTGATCAATCCGACTCCGTAGAGTATATCTGGTCTGGTACATGTCAAGTACCTTAAGCTTCCTACTAAGCTTTTGAAGTAAGTTGGATCAACATTTTCAACTTTACTTTTCCTCAATTCCACTCCATTCTCAACTGGAGTTGATACCGGATTGCAGCTTTCCATCTTGAACCTTTCAAGAATATCTTTGGCATAACTGCTTTGGGATACAAAAATCCCTTCTTCTTTCTGCACCACTTCTAAGCCAAGAAAATGTGTCATCAGACCAATGTCTGTCATCTCAAACTCTTGTACCATGCTTTTCTTGAAGTCTTCGAACATGGTAGGATTGTTGCCAGTGAATATCAAGTCATCAACATATAGGCACACAAATAATATGCTGCCATCTGCTTCTTTCTTCACATAAATTGCGTGTTCATATGGACATTTTTCAAATCCATTATCTTGAAAATACCTGTCAATTCTGGTATTCCAAGCACACGGAGCTTGCTTCAAACCGTAGAGGGCTTTCTTCAACTTGTATACTTTGCCTTCATTTTCAGCATCAATGTATCCAAGTGGTTGTTCAACATAGATCTCTTCTTCTAGGAAGTCATTCAGAAATGCTGACTTCACATCAAGTTGATAGATCTTCCATCTATGTTGTGCTGCTAGTGAGATCATCAATCTGATTGTCTCTAGCCGGGCTACTAGAGCAAACACTTCTCCATAGTCAATGCCTTCTCTCTGTTTGTAGCCTTTCGCCACTAATCTTGCTTTGAATCTTTGCACTTCTCCTTTTGCATTCTTCTTTGTCTTATAGACTCATTTGACACCTATTGTTTTCTCGTTTTCTGGTAGATAAGTCAGCTTCCAGGTATCATTCTTCTCAATGGCATGTATTTCTTCATCCATTGCTTTTATCCACTTCTCTTCTATGATAGCTTCATTGAAGCTAAGTGGGTCACTATCTACAAAGAAACAAAATAGAGTTGTATCTTCCATTACTTGAGTGGCGTCATACAGCTCTTCTAGATTTCTCATCCTTCTTGGTCCTTCTGATGAGGATGCTGATGATGATGGTATTGATGATGATTCTGGCGTGTTTCTCCTGTTAAATACAGGAAATCTGTGTACCGGACTTTGTGGCTCATCTTCTGGTACTATTGGACCTTTTGCAAGTACTGTTGGTACTTCTTCATCTTCAAGGATCAAATCAGTGCTGATCCATTTAACTGCTTCTTGGTCATCATTCCATTGCCAAGTTTTATCTTCTTCAAAGATAACATCTCTGCTCATAATTACCTTCTTGGTGATGAGATTATACAGCTTGTATCCCATTCTTCTCTCACCATATC